TTGTAGGATGGAAACTTTTTGAGGTCAAAACGCCCCCACCCCCAAACTAAAGGAAATAAGTTTTTTATCCGACATTGATCTTTTGACGTCGTCCTTTAATGAAGTCAAAAAAATCTTGGAGTATTTGTAGTTCATTTTTTTTCTATCTAATCATGGACAGAAATAACCGAAAAGTGAAAAAAAAAAAAACAGAAAAATGGTTTGGTTCGAGTGTAAATCTGTGCGTCAACTGAGGTGCATTTGTAAACTCTTTTTACACCCACCCGACAGCCAACTGCTATGCCATACTACTGTCCGATTATCAATTTGTATTTAATGGGGAATGTAGTCTGACGCCATGACCAATATTTATCAATTAAGTTTCAGTGGGGGGTAAGGGGGTTGGAAAAAAACTAAAGGAATTAAGATTTTTATCCGACATCGATCATTTGACGTCGTTGCTAATCCCAACAGACTTGCCATCAGTGTGAGCGCCCTCACATTACCCGCCAGTAAGTGCACAAGTAATCGATGACATTCCGTTCACTGCAAAAAAAAAAACGCGGACTGAACGTTTGCTGAAAAACTCAAACATATTTATTTGAATTCCTTTGTTCATAGCTTAATATCAAAATGCAGATTCGTTCGTGCGTTACAGTAACGCATTCTGAGTAACGTGTAAATTTCTATCTTTAAAAAAATACCACACTATCGAACCCCACGTGAGGCCGTGACGCTACTACGGCGCTATGACCTTTGTTTTGATGTTCAATTTCAGGAATAACGCGAGATCTCACAGTGAACGGAAACATTTTTTTTAGTCAATTATAACCACGAAAATAATCATACCTGTTACTTTGGGCTCCATAGAATTTATTGTGGCCGGACATTCTGCAAGACTTCCGTCATCCGTAGCAGACGTTGACTGGTTACCCTTTATGTATTCGCAAGACATCTTATGCCAAATGCAGCAACGAGCATGCGCATACACGCCTTAAATGTAAACATAAAATAATATTACGGTATTTGTAAAGTATTTGTCAACAACAAACACAATGTGCGATATCAACAACAACTATTGACGATCCTGCTCCCTCCCAGCTGGAATTGCACTACGTCCGCCCAACGGTCTGTCTGTCCATCCGTCCGTCCGTCCGTCTGTCTGCCCGTCCTCGCGTACGTATTAATTCTTCTGTGACTTGTTGGCTGGACAGATTACTTAACAGGCACACCAAACGTGCACTCTCTATGTATGTGAACGATCGGGACAAAATGTCTACCCTCGCCGTTGCCATGACAACAGCCGAAACACAAACAGATTGTTCCCACATTTGCGCAAAATGCATCTCTTCCCACAAATCGCAAACTCAACTAATTAATGTGTTACAGAATTAGATAAATATACGTTTTATAAATTGACCAATCCATGGTATTGTTACATAATAGTTCTAATTTAATATCAATGAGATAGTACAACATTATCCAACCAGCAAACGCCTTATTTTTTTGATATAGGTGTAGTAGCTGCCAATTTAAGTCATGTGAAGGCATGCGCGCGCATTATGGACGTAGACAATGCCTAGCTCTCAGCCAATCACTATTGAATATTTGAATTTGAATGAAAGCTGATGATCAGCATTTCAATTTTTTTTTTATAAATACGTTTATAAGCAAAATCCTAACTTTGTTTTTGTTGTTGTTGCATTTCTTGATAACAGAAAGGGGGAAAATAATTGGCCTGATGACCAGGCCATTAACAAACTCGATCATCTGCACTGCATTAATATGAGGTTATTACGAGGAAACTGAGAAGTATGCACGAAGACAGTACAGCGAGAAGTATCTACCGACGCGCAGTGGAGGTCAATGCGACGGTGTACTGTCTGAGTGCACACTTTTCGGCATCCTCGTAATAACCTTGTTATTATACATTCTTTTTCCCCCAAGGATACATCATGGAGATGCCGAAATGCAAAACAGTTTAGAACAGAATCAGCGAACTTTATTGTGGGACCCCTGGCGGAAGCCATGTCTGTTTTTATTATTAGAGGACGCGTACGCGCGTAATTATTCCATATTTGGAATTTGCATTTCCTAATATGGTAGGATGAAAATACCCCATAAAATACCGCAAACTTACGGCACGCTGTAACTTATGGCGTTACGGTGACAGATGTATAATAATAATAACGATTATTATACACAAAAGAAAATAGAATTAACCATACAACACATCTTCAACTAAGATTGTTATTGTATCATGTCCATACCTGTTCCCCCTTGACCATTTTGAGCAACACAAATTGTATTGCCGTTGCCATCTTGATCAAAATATGCGCCATCCATAGTTCCGTGTCCACTACCTGGTAAGTAGATATTACAGCCTGTCATGACCTCGCCACTCTCACACTGCACTTCGGTTCTTGCATCATCATCCGTACCAGATAAATCGGATATCACTGTGCGACATTCTGTGTTATAAATGGATACCGTTTATTATTTTATTCCAAGCCATTATTGCAATTCTTAAAGCTAACATGCAAATAACGTTACACTGATTTTTCAAAACTTCCGATATATTGTCAAAAAGTTGTTTTCACGCAAGAGTATCGAGAGTTATAAAATGACTAATATGCATTTCATATGCATTATACTGATTGGCTACAAATCGTTAAAGGGTGGAGGTTGTCGCGCCACTCATGCGCGAGATATGGGGCACGTATTAACAAAGACTGCGCAGAGCAACGAGTACAAACTGAGACGTTACCAAGGTATCGATGTAGTCATCGGCGGTATTTAGTGCATTTCGCGCTCAGGTTAAAAACAGTACTTGTGATTTCCATTGGAAGAGCGTATTGTATTGTGGGAAATTCAATGTCAATCATTGCACATGCGCGGAGCGACGACCACCGCCCTTTAACTCAAAATGTGAATTGTCGTGGATTTTGCTACACTGTTGTGCTACTATATCAACGTACGTGTCACTTACATCATAAAACCGTGACGATGAGGGCGTACCTACCAGGGGGCGATGGTTCTGTAGTTGGCGCTACAATAACTGGTGCTGCAGTTAAGGGTATCGGAGCAGGTGGTGCTGCAGTAACTGATGCTGTAAAAGAAAATGTTATACCAATTACCATATCATTATCTAAAACTGCTGCAACCGACGTACAACTATACCACGCGCGTCAGGTGACTCCAGCCAATGAGGGCGCCCTTTCCAAATTTGTCAAAATGCTACGATAATAAACGGCATCTAATCTAATCAGATTTATTCGATTTCTTACATTTCATGGAACATAAATATGACATCGTTTTGGCATAAAATTTGTCAACGAAAAAATATTGCAACTATGCGAGGTTCGTGAGTAGAATACAATGTGTCGTTCAATACAAACGCGTGATGCGCGCATTCCGTCTAACGCGCTACACACCAGCTGACACACAAGTAAGGTTGGGCGTAAAACAAGTCATGATTGTAACCCATTTATTCAGTTACATGCGCATGCGTGAACCATCGTTCAGTGATGCGCATGCGTACTATGTAGATGGGTATGAAGTGAACGCGCAGGTGTTTTCACGTTCTCTCACACGTTCTTTCACCCTTGTGTTAACAAAGGTCAAACGACAAAAACTGCCATTGTTTCCCCCGTCAATGACATAAACTTAAAATCAAAGCAGCAAAACCGTGGAAATTAAGTGTCTAGTGAAAATAAATGGTTTTACAGCATGCAGGTTAAAGCAATATCGTGAAAATCGACAGCTGTGTAAGGTTCTGTAGTTGTTCGTCTTCTAGACAATGATAAACGTCCTCCAGAAAAACACAATCTTCCAAACTGACCGACTACGGTTTTTAATGACCTATGATAGACCGAAAGTCGAAGATACGGCCTTTCGCATGCGCGCGCATACCGTTCCCGTTTTGAACATTATCCAGAAAAATACAGTATTTTTCTTTGTTCATACATGATTTGTTGAACACACTACATAGTTTGTAATTTTATTCAGTTTCTTTCAGTTATAATTCGAGACAAATAAAAGGCAAAATATAGAGAATATAGCAAATTATCATTTTTTCTTTAGTATTCTTTTGTATTCGGTAATTATGAAAATTATTTATGAGTGCACAGGAAATATATTTCGTTATAAATTATTCTTAATATAAGTTTCTGAATTAACTTGTCAAAATCATTTTTTTTCAGGCTGTTTTCTCCAAAAAACTACTGAGCATGTTACTGCAAATATATGCAATGCATTATGGGAGACAACTTGAAATTTGTCACTACTGAGCATGCCACTGCACGTATATGTAAAACAGTTATATGCAATTGTAAGCTATAATTACTCCGGAAATTTCACATTAATCGAAACGGAAAGTTTTTATTGCAGGTGTTAAAGCGTAGGGTCGTCACCTGCGCACGCGCTGGAATTGAGTCCCAAGCGACGATAACAACACACGTTAAAAACGCAATGGCTCATAGTGGGTAGACGCTTGTTTGGAAACAACGACACACGATGGCCATCTGACGCATGCGCAGGTGACGACTCCCCCTTTAATTTAATAATTCTCACCTGCATAAGCTCCACATCGTTGGTCCCTGCTGGCAGCCATAATTTCGGACTCAGTCAACGCTACATCGTACACTTGCATACACGTTATCATGCCTGAGAAATATCTGCCATCGCCTATACGTGCCCCCATACGTGCCTCGTAATCAGTTGCTAATGTTGTTACCCCAATGTCCAAACTCGTCTTCAGGACACCATCCAAATAAAGCCGCGCCATACCAGTGTTGTAATCGTACGTGGCGGCGAACAAGTTCCATTGATTCATATTAAGCTCGACAATCAAATGATCGGTAAACGACCGATCTCGTCTCACGAACCGTACAAACTCGTCAGGTGCGCCAGATGCGTCGGTTTGCCATAAGTGGGCGCCCCAACCATCGTTGTCGTAGTTGAAGATGGGACCATCGACTCCAGTTGGATATACCCACGCCATCATAGTAAGTGAATATTCAGTATCGTAAGCACAGTTGTTCGGGAATTCTATGTAGGAGTTTTCGTTACCAGTGAACTCGTATGCTCCAGTGCACCTGCCGTAGGCGTCGTCGTTCAACACAGCGCCTGTTGCTGTGCCGTGGTTTCCATTTCCCGATACGTCATCTAAACCGTACTCGCTATTTAGCGGCCAGAATGCCACCGGTTTAGGGACTGAAACAAAGCAGAGGAGATGGTGTTTTTGCCCACCAAGTATTATAGAAAAGAGAATCTGAATTGTTCGAGTTATGAACGTCCATATTACACGCCCATATTTTGGGAACCACATCAACTTGTCCGAAACCACGCCCAAATTGTAACTCGACATTAAATTACTAGTTAACAAAACTTCGCGTTACAGGCAATATACATTTTTTTTGAACGTCCACATTCAGTAATTCGATCTTTAATTAACAGTTGAACGAACTTCGAGTTTACTGGCAACCTAGATTTTTTGTTTTGTTTTGTGCAAATTTAGTAACAACGGACAATACAGCATCTCTTGGCAATTATTAAGAATAAGATTACGGCGTATATTTTCTGTTGACAGATAGAGTTTCTTTGAAAATATCGATTTGATCGACCCGATCTTCTGTAATTTCGTATCCAGTATTTGGAATAGCTAGGCGCATCGACCTGCTTAATTTCTTTTAGCTGCAAAGCTGAATCCTTCTAAAAGCGGGAGGGTCGTCACCTGCGCATGCGCGGTAATTGAGTTCTAAGCGACGATAACAATACACGCTAAAAACGCAAAGGCTCATGTTTGTAAACAACGACACGCTATGACCATCTGACGCATGCGCAGTGACGACTCCCCCGCAGTAATAGTATGTATAGATAACAACGCGTTATTTTGATCGTTTATTTTTGTTTACATTCAGTCTGTAATCAGTCCGGCAAGTGGGTTGCTGCAGTTTAGCAGCTCTTATTGGCCGCTTAAGCTATTTTGATATTACGTTGCGGCCATAGTCGCCCCGCAACGTATACCACGACCAAGAGAGCTGCATAGACTGCAGCAAGCAAGTGGGCTATTTATAATCTTAATGTTTTTGTTTGTTTGTTTTTTCTTCGCTGTCGAGTGTCCAGACGACCACGGGAGTCGAACCCACCCTTCCCTTGATACCTGGCGGATACGTTAATCATTGTGCATGGCATCAAGCCGGGTATAATTTACTTACCCAGAATTCACTCCTAATTAATAGTAGACGACCTTCACGGAAGTAGAAGATACGGCGTTTCGCATGCGCGCGAATACCGTTTTGTGGTGTAACGTAAAATTGCACGCGTGATATTAGTTGCGTTCACGCACAGCTCCTTAGCACGGGCTAAGAGGTCAAATTCCTTAGCCCGTGCTAAGAAAACGTGCGTGAACGCTTAGAACGGGCTAAGGAATGCTAAGTACGGG